CCCTGCTCAGTCTGTGCCCTGGGCCTGCCCCTTGATGCTTACACGGAGTGAGTGGCCAGGCCAAAGGCAGCAGGAGGGTCAGGCGAGAGTCAGGCTTTACAAGGACAGGAGCCCTGTGACCGCTGCCATTGCGCCCAGACCAGCTGTCGAGCCCCTAGCTGGCTGCCAGTAACCCAGGCCCCAGGGCACCTGCATGATAGCACGTTTCCACCCTGTGAGGGGTCCCCTGGGTCAGGGAGCTAGTCACAAGCCTCCCCCTCGGCTCCCCCACGCTGTGTGTGTGTGTGGGGGGGGGGGGGCTTGCTCGAATTCTCTGTGCTTTGCGGCCCCTTATGACTGGGAGGGGACAGAGCAAAGCTGTCCCCAAAGGGGACTCCCCACCCTGTCCAGAGATTACGGAGGGCCCACACATGGCAGGTGCCTGAGCTGCCCCTCTGCCTGCGCCCCTGATGCACATCTCTGCTCCAGGTCCCAGGAGGCAGGACTTGGATGGCCTCTCCGGCGACGTCTTCAACTACGAAGGTACCACCTGGCGAAATGGGAATTGAAGTGCCCGGGCAGTGATTCCCTTGAAGGGGGTTTCCTGACTGGGAGTGGGGGTGCTTGGGGAGTCCCAGGGAGCCAGGTAGGAGCATGCAGATAAAGTCTCTCTGCCTTGCCGGGTGGCGGTGGGGTGGGTGCCCTGGGTAAGAGAGGAGGGCCTGAAGCACATCCCGGTGAGTGGCACAGAGTCTCTGTCAGCCTGCTCTTGGCTCGGAGGGAGCCAGAGGCCGGGCAGGGCCAGGCCAGGCCAGGCCGCCTGAGTGGGAGCCTGCCCGCTTCCTGCCCAGAGAGCCCTTTCCCCCAGCCCCGGGCCTGCTCACTTGTGCCCCCTTGCTCCCAGAGCACTGCGCCGCCAAGGCTGTCACCGGGCCGTGCCGCGCCGCCTTCCCGCGCTGGTACTTCAACGTGGAGACCGGCTCCTGCGAGACCTTCATCTTCGGAGGCTGCCAGGGCAACAAGAACAGCTACCGCTCCAAGGAGGAGTGCCTGCACCGCTGCTACGGTGGGCCCGCCCCCCATCCCATGCCCATCCATCTCCCTGGCCTTTGGGCTGTGGTTTGAAGCTGGACCCTCCCTCCGCCACTGCAGGGGAAAGGCATAGCGGGAACACAGCTGTAGGGGGGAAGCCGCCCCGCCCCTGGGAAGGTCCCCGGGAGACCAGACACCAGTGCTTCCCACAGAGCCCCTGCCCGAAGGCTGGCCAGCCAGCCCCCCGGGCTCTGCGGCCTCACTCGCCATTGCTTCCTGCCTCTGCCCAGGGTGGCAGCTTGCTCTCTGGGAGACTCCCCCCATGCTGAGGGGTGGGCCCGCTCATGGCCCTGCCCTCCCTGGAGCTCCATTCGCTTCGCCTTTGTCAGCAGTGCCGTGCCTCCTACCAACTTTGTGACCATCCGAGGGGCCACACACAGCTCCTTGGCACAGTCCCACCAGCCGTTTGGTGGCAGTTAACAAAGACTGTGACAAGAAGGAGCTCTGGTGGCATAGCAGGTTACTCGTCGGGCTGTGACCCTCAAAGTCAGCAGTTCAAGCCCACCAGCCGCTCCTGGGGAGAAAGGCTTTTACTCCCATAAAGAGTGACAGTCTCAAACCCACAGGGGCCGTTCTCCTCCATCCTGTGGGGCCACTGTGAGTTGGCATCGACTTGGTGGCAGTGGATGTGGAGGGGGTTCAATGGCTAGAAGGACTGATGTCGAGCTTGGGGCTGCCATCTGCAGGTTCAGCAGCTGGAATCTAGCAGCCACTCCACAGGAGCAGGACAAGGAGGACTCACTGTCTCAGAAACCCCACGGGCAGCTCAGCCCTGCCCTGGAGCGTTTGGGTTTGGGAGCAGGACCCTGTTAAGCTTTAAGTCGCCGTGGGGTGGAAGCAGCCTGTGCGGTGCCCATCAGTCGGTGATGGGCTCACAGTGCGGGGGCTCACAGCGGGCCACCAGAAACACCCGGTGCCACCACGGGGAGGAACCTGAAAGCCCCAGGGGATTCCATCAAAGGACAGGGGTTGTGCAGCTGTAGGCGGAGCCACAGGTGCTGTAGGCGGAGCCACAGTTCAGCAGTAGAGGGGAGGGTACCTTTCGGAGGTGCTGTGACCATTCCCGGCCCCTCCCTGTTTCCGTGGTCACCCTCCCTGTTCACGTGGATCCACGGCCCCTAAGCTTCTTCTCATCTCTGCAGGTGCTGTGGCACTTTGACCCCATAAAGGGAGCATACATTGCTTCAGGCAGACAGTCTTTACGAGCGAGGCTAAACTGCCCTTGGATTTTAAGAAGACTAAGAGGGGTATTGTGGGTTTAAGGCAATACTTTCGTGAAGGTCCATCCAGAAAGTGTGGAGTCCATGAGAATTTGAAATTCTGTTAGCCTTTTCTCCGCCCTGATGATCTGAGATCACAGTGCTCCGGCATGCTAGCCCGCCACCGTCCAGCTCTCTGGGGCTCCTGGCGAGGAAGCGGCTGTTGGTGGAGGTGATGGGCCCCACGTCCATCACCTCCAGTTTCTGCCTCTTCTTCCTCCGCTGTTAGCATTGGGTTTATTTTTTATACCAGTTTTCCAAGTAATTTGAATTCTTCCCCACGCCGCGCGCGCCTGCGCACACACATACACACACACCAACCCCTATATCTTCAGCTGCCTGGTGGGGAAGGGAAGGCTTTGGCCCTGACTGCCAGGCAAGTGTGCACACCCCACACCCCACCCCCGGTGGACCCTGCGGGCGCTGACTGATATGTGTGTTCTCTTCCAGGCAAGGAGTCCTACCCAGTCCTGACCCACAATTCTAAAGGTACGTGGCCGGCCTTGGCTGAGCTGGTCCTGCTCAGCTGGGTCTGCAGGTTCTCCTGGCTCAGGCCCACTGCCCTGCACGCCCACATCCTGGTGGGGGGTGGAGTGGGGGGGCGGGGTGGTCTGTCCCAAGGCAAATGTGCACACATGTTTATGTTATCTCGCTGGCCCTGGGGCTGGGCTGCCTGCGTGGCTGAGAGGTGCTGCTGCCTTCTGGCCTGACACTGACCAGGGTGTGTAGCCGGCCAGGCCCTGGGACAGGGAGTCGGGGAGGGGGGTGGGGCAGACAGTGTGAGCCTCTGGCCAGCACCGGGGCATGGAGACAGGTGTCCTGCCCCTTGTCTTTGTTTCCGGGACTGCCGGTGTTTGCCCAGAGAACCTGCCACACTGGTCTGGCCTCTTTCTGCCCTGTCCCCATTCAGATCTCAGAGGAGGAGGAGCCGGCCTGGGACTTGGTTGGCCAGCCAGGGGCTAGTTATAGCAGCCAGGGGCTCCAAGGCCTGGGAGGTAGAATCGGAGGGGGGTGGCTGCTCGGAAACTGCAGCCAAGGGCAGGGCAGGGAACGGGGTGCAGCCGCAGTGAACGAGACCTGCATTCTTTAGACAGCGAGCCCGGCCTGGGAAAAAGCCTGCCAGCTCACTGGCGGGGCAACCACTACCTTCACTGGCCAATTACAGCCCCCGGGGCCCCTCCCAGAGCTGTGCTCAGCACCCCCTGGCCTCCCCCCACCGGCAGTGACCTCAGCCACATAGCCACCTGCCGCAGGCCCTGCCTGTGCTGTAGGCGCGTGGTTCACGTCCTCTCACACACAGCATTGGGCGGCTGGCCACATGGCTGGCCCTGGGCCCGCTGGGGGTGCCCACCCCCTGCCGCTTCTGAATTCCTCCCCCCGACCCC